ATATATATATATATATATGAAAATTTTCTTTTTTAATATCGCAATGTCTAACAAAATACATAATTGGTTTTATTTTATAAATATCTTATATTCATTTTTTTTTGTATTAGCTAATTCTTTTTATATTGTAATATATATTGTGAGTTTATTATTGTTTATTCTTCATATATAAATGTTTCCTATGTTTTCAATGCATTTATATTATACTTATTTGACAGGTTAAAGATGATCCCGATTTGCTGAAACGTACTATAAAACGGAACGAACAGAAAAAGAAACACAGCGCAAATAAATGGAATTCCAGGCTAGATAACGTACAGAAATCTATGCAGGAAAGGCAAGAAAAGCGACGAGAAAATATTATGAAAAGGAAGAAGGAAAAAAAACACAATAAATTGAAAAAGGCAGCGAAAAAAGGACGCATAATACCTGGATTTTAACCGTCGATTATTTACATAGCTATAATTACAAATTGACTTTGTAAAATTTATGTTATTATTAGGGCCCGGATGTTCGGGCGCGATCCCGGGTTGCGCGCGGAGCACCACTGCGTGCTAGTAAGTCGAACGGTCGCTGAAAACGGGCCCTAGTTATTACGTATCCTTGACTGTCGAAAATCATTCTATTCATCAATCTGATATAGAAAGGCAGATATGGCATGTTATGTTATATTTTTTGTTTAATAGAATAATTGGATGTTCACACAAAAGCGTACATTGAACGACGATTTGTGTACAGTATCAATCTTCATAATACAGTCACGAATAATAACTTTATTCATGTAATTTCGTTTGTACATTAATTAAAAATCTGTATTTACACTGATGTATTAGTATTGTAGACCAGCTACTTCCTACAGTGACCGCGTACGTTTTGGATTTTAACTATCGTGTAAAAAGCTCTACTCGCAAATATCACGAGCAAATAGTACAAAATTTCACGTTGGTCATAATGTTTAGTTGCAGCATACATGCATACGCACACATTCACACGAAAGGAATACGATGCTCTATTTTTTGAACATCATTTTGTTGTAAATTTTGTTTTATTATTTACTTCTTCTCTCTCTGACATAAAAGCATTGTATATTTTTCTGATTTTCACACAGTCATTATCGCGATATGGTAGTGCTTGAGTAAAGATGTCCAACTTCCTTCCGATGCTCCAAGAGACATTTTCAGAGAGGCCGGTCAGTAAATGATTGGCAGATCTAGGACGAGGCTTTTGATATAGCTGCCGTCTTCCACCTCCTGCTAGGTGTCTCCTAACGCCGCAGAGACCGCATTAGCGTGTGTCAAAGCTGTCCACAGCGGACTATGATCCACAGGCAACGGCACCGTCAAAGATTTCGATGGTCGTGGAGACCTGTAAAAATGGAATAAATGCAACCGTATCTGCAAAACACCCTAACACTTTACGAAGACTTTAATTGGTTCGGACTTTCTACGAGTCATAATCTCGAATATTTAGATGACTTTAACATAGCACGGAGACATTAGATTTGTTTTGATTTTCTAATAAATCATAATCTTGAGCGGTCAGATGACTTCAACACAGTATCGAGACATCAGATTAGTCTTGATTTTCTAACAATCTGAAATGATCAGATTAGTCTCATGATCACTTCAATCTCATAAATATCTGTACAACGCGTAAATAATTGATGTATTGATCAATCGTTTTACTTTATTCTTAAATTTAATCATTTTTTACATTTTACTTTGTATATATATTTTAGGCTCTTGTTTTATATGATATTCTATTATATTCTTATACATGCTCTCGACAAAAAAGTTTTATTAACAAAATGTATTGAAAATATCATCAATATTTATCAGTCATAAAATTGTCAGATTTAATGAATATTTGTGAGGAGAGTAGATAGGTGGTAGAAATTAGCATATATCGATATTTTTTATTCAGTATAAAAGAAATCCCATTCTGAAGAATTTTAATTTATTTTATCCACGTATAATGTTCATTTCTACCAGTATAGATTAACTTTCATTTTAGTTATCTTTTCCTAATTCTTATTAGAACTAGAAACAAAATAAAAAGTAAGTTAAATCGAGATTAAAGTTAATCTACGTTGGCAGAAGTGGACATTATTGAATAATTTGAATCGAAAATTATGACCTTTCCAATATTTAAACTGTAAACATCACAATTGCGTCGACCAATCAGCGTGCTTGCACGTAATATGTACGTTACGTGCTAAACGAAAATTGCGTTGGCAGAAGTGAGTGATATAACGCTCGCGGTTTGTCGTGATTTTTTGGTTCGATCGGACGCGTTATTTTCGCGAAAATCAAGTCCGAACATGTCGTTTTCCTATTAAATGGCAGCCTAGTCTGATTTTCGTTCATTTAACGAAGCATCGATCGAATCGTTTAAGGCTCATAGTTAGGGCAATTGCTAATGTATATAGCTCCGCCATTCAATCCGCGATTAATGCGATTGCTTTCGGCACAAAGCTCCAAGGTGAGATATCTCGTTCTATTAATTCTCTGGTATTAATTTGGCCGTATTCTTGTTATAAAAGAAAATTACAGACTTATTGCTCTCATTAAATAAATACGAGCGAGAAACAAGAAGTTATCACGGTTTCGAGAATATTTACGACATCGGAAAGGAAAGGGGGAGGAAAGAGAGTATTTTGGCGTTATTATATATATTGCCGTAATTATTTTATTAGGTACCGGCGTCGCGTCCAATCAGCGCGTTTCTCCTACGAGTCGCGTAACTCAGATAAGTTCAGAGTTCAGATTGCTAACGGAAGGAAGAAGGAAGAAAACGCGGTATCGGATGACCAATTTCACAGTCTTTATTCGATATCTTTTTCGAGAAATATCCGAGTCCGATCGCGTTGCGGTTGCCATTAGTGGTAGCTAGTTCGATCTTCGTCTAATCGATCTAATAAAGCATCAATCGCTTTCGTCAATCGGTTGAGGTTCGTATACGCAAGTTGGCGCAATTAATGCATGTAGTTCGCTGTTCGCGGCCACTATAGAATCAGCCTCGACTAACGCAATTGCCTTCGGCACGAGGCTCGTAGGTAAAATAATCTTTATTAATTCTAGTACCGTATTTTTGTAAAAAAAAAATTTACTTTTATTCTCAGAATACAGAATAATAATTAAATCATGATATCATAGTCGTTTGATAATTAAAAATGAACTTATAAGTGATAAATAACATTACTACATGTGACAATGTCTTTGTGATCACGGGAAAAATTTTATATATATAGAGATATATTTTTTATATATAATTGTATATAAAATATGTTAGTTTTTTAATATAATTATATATAATAATATATGAAACATTTTTTCCCGGGATATTATTATGATTTCTGTGTTCTATTTGAGTTGCTCTTATTGAGTGGATGAGAAAAAAAACCCCCCCCCCCTCCCGATTTTTTAGATTATTTTTGACGCCAAAAGTGAATAGGAAAGAGAAGGAGAAGAAAAGACATCTAAGTATTTTGGCGCAATTGTAATTATCTCAAGTACAAGCGTCGTTCAATCAGCACGTTTCTCCTACGTTATTCGCGTAATTCAGATAAATTCAGATTGCTAGCGAAACGAAGAGGAAGAAATAAGAATATAAGAGAAATGCAGTTTCGTGTGACGCGCGCTCGAGTTTTCGCGAATCATTATTCAATTATACGCGTTCTCTTCGAGAAATATCGAGTTTATAATTGCATTGCAGGTGCTGCTAATTAGAGAGCTATTTGATTTTCGTCGGTCTAACGAGTTTTTAAAGGCTACGCGCAATTGGTAGAGAACACAGACGTCACCATTCGAATTGTTTATTCTCGATCGACGCGACTATTATCGGCGTCACATGTAAGATTTTATTAATTTTCAAATTGCACTTCTGAAAGAAACATTAATCCGTATTTCATTACGTGTAATAAAAAGTCCCATATGTTTTTGAGAAAATTTACATGGAAGAGGATCGGAGAAGAAAAAGTCATAAAGTGTTTTGGCGCCATTACGGTGTTTTGACTGTTTCTCACGTTTAACCGTCGACCAATCAGCGCATTCCTCTTAAAACGTATGATTCGCGTAATGCAGATAAATTCATATTGCTAGCGGAAATACGGAAAGAAAAAGCGTAAATGTAGTTTCGTGTGACGCTCATGGATTTTTGCTGTTTTTTATTCGATCGTGCAGTGCGTTCTCGTTTCAAAAATACCGAGTTTAATTGCATCTTGAGGGCCGTTAATTAGCGGGCAGTCCGTTTTTCGTTGATTCGAAAATTACGACAAATAATTCGTGAATTTTTCAAGGCTTGTGTGCAATTGTTAAGCTTTGTGTCCACGATGCTAGAAATCGGTCCGAGATCTCGGATGAAGAAAGAATTGACCAATCGCAATGGTCATGTGATCAAATTGTTCAAATGTGATTTGTTAATTTTTTCTCTGTCCGAGATCTCGGACCGATTTCTAGCATCGTGGACACAAGGCTTTACGCCATTATTCAAATTGCTTCTCGATTGGCGAGATTGCTTTCGGAATAAAGACTCATAGGTGGGATAATTTTTTATTCATTTTAAAACGACGCTTTTGTGAAAGAAATATCAATTCAAAGTTAATCAGAAATTTTTATCACGGATGAATATGAGGGGGAAAAAATGAGAAATCGTTATATGAAAAATTCTTGGCAAAAAAAGGAAGAGGGACAGACGTTCTAATCTGGAGCAGTTAACGATGATATTGTAATTGTAACTTATGTTTTTCTGTATTTTAATTATTAATATTTTAATTCTGATTTTAGGTATAGCTGTTGTCCAACTAGCATCTTCCGCGTTCATGATTCATATAATTCGAATAAAAATTCAATTTGTAAAGGAGAGAAAAAGAAAGAATAGATAAATTAAAAAATAAACATAGCTTTGTACAACGTTCGCGTTTTCTTGTAATCTTTCAGCCACTCATATATATTTGTTGTAAAAAATATAATTCTGATCGCGTCACGTTATTGTTAATTAGCGGACAAGTATTATTTTTATTGTACGGTATAAACAAAGTATTAGTTGCTTAATCCGCAAATCGGATGGAGTTCGTACACAGTTATTAATGCATAAAGTTTCACCATACAAACTTTTTATTCGATGCAATTATTTTCTCTACAGCCGTTCGTAGAGACGAGACATTTCTTTTTTATTAATTTTAAAACTACATTTCTTGAAGAAAATACTGATTTGAAGTTAGAGAGATTCGTATCGTGTAATTAGCAATATTTTTACGAGAATTTATAAATGAGGCGGGATAATTTTAACGTATCTCATCGTTATTACCTCGACGGTGCCAAAGCCGGATGCTAGTCAGGACTACTTAATTCGAGAGCAGTGCTCTGCTCGGGATCTGAACGCTCCTCGACGACGGTGTCCAACTCCAGGGATGAGAAGGCTCGGGACCCTCTATCACCTCTTAAGGATACGGTACGTGCCGGTCGATCAATGCCAGCTGCGAAAATGCCGATAACATGTAAGTCATATTATTAAAAAAATGTTGATATCATTAACTTTTGTTTGAACACATTCGCACTATCAGTTGAAAGTTTTAACAATTTAAGAATAACATTTCAGAACTCATTATCTATATATGACGATTAAAGACAAGACGCGAATGTGTTTAATACGAAGCAAATTAAAATATTTTTCTTCTTTTTATTCGTTTTTTTGCTCTGCTTGCGATTATTGAAATTCGAAGAATATCCACTGGCGGAAATTTGATTTGCCATTGACAAAGCTTTCGCGACATTGAAAATTTCTACTTAAATTAACTACAAGAATCTCTAAGATTCCTAACTGGCTAAACTAATTTACGTACAAACGAACCATGCAATCTAATATAGCTTTAATTTTATTTTTTTTATCTAATCTAGGAATAAAAAAAAACGTTGCGTCAAACTCATTTCCGTAAAATAAAAATGGAAATAAGTAAAGTTTCCTAATATGTCGTCTATTCCAATATTTTTACTAAAAATCGCGTATTGAATAATATTAATATTATCTCATTCTTATATAAACCTAATTACGTTCTAACTTGATTATCCTATGGCATTATACAAGTCACAAGCGCTGGCACATTAGATAAAAAATATATTCTTTTTTCAAATGCTAAAGAAATTACTGTAAATTATACATCCGAGCAAATTTCTAAGAATCGAGCGATGCTATTAACTACGTTGTATTTTACCTAAATCCTCTCTCGATGCTGTGCTTGCCAACACAAATAAACCTTTCAGTGCGGATTATTTTGTATCATATGATTTTATTCTATAAATATATATACATGCATTCCTTTACATGAAAAAATAAAAGTTACTTTTAAAGAATAAATATTTAGATAATTTAAGCTTACACTGATTTAAGCTTACACTGTGTGTAAAATTTAATCCTCTTTAACTTTAGAATTAGGGAGAGTTTCCTGATACAACAATTGATTAAATCGATTTAACCTCTCTGTGTTAAAATTTTTTATTTATTTTTTGTATGTTTCGATGCACGTAATAATTGTATTCTCATTTAGGAGAATAAATTTTAATTGCAGAAAGGTATTTAAATGAGAGAAAATAAATAATTAATAAATGTCGCATGTCACGATAATATACAATGTATATTCATGCTGTGATGTTTTCGATAAATTTTCAATTGACTTTAATTCTTTGCGCAAACTTTTTTTAACATGAACGCAAAAATAAAATCTGAATTTGTTAAATTGCTTTAAGCAATTATAAAAGCAACCATTCTTACGTAAAATAAGCTCTAAAGATACGAATAGATAATAAAATCTTATTTTTCACTCTAAAGTTTTATATACATAATAATTTAATATTTATTCGTAATTAATTCAACATTTAATTATTAAAATAGTCGACATTAAAAATTATGAAATAGTGTGAAAACAGATGCTATTTGATTAAATTGTGATAAGAAAAAATCAGGTTTAAAGTTTCTTAAAAAATCTGTAGGTAGCATTACATGCAGATTTTTTTAAAGAAAAGATAAGTGATATATGTGTGTGTGTACATATATGTATATATATACATATATCACTTATCTTTTCTTTCTATGAATCATCTCTGAAAATTAATAGTCACTAGAAAAACGTGAGAGTTAAATTATACATTATGCTCATGTGATATTTATGAAGTATTTATCTTCTGTTTTTTAGCAGACAATCTTTTGTTAGGAGAGAACATTGCAGACGGTAAATTTTATGCCTCGTCTACTGTGTGCACTAAATAGTGATATAAAACGACCGTCTACTATCTAGTGTTGACTGGATTGTCGTAAATTGAGAGTTTGTGGCGGTTGCAACGGGTACAATACCTTACGTCGTAGATCGTCCACGCAGAGACATAAAAAACTTTTTTGTTAGCTGTTGGAAGAGACCGTATTAGTAGTACGTGAAGAAATAAATCTGTCTTTCCGCACTCAAGTAGATCGCGTCGTCTTTAAAGTTTTTTTGTTTTGCTCTAATACGCACAGAGAGGTTAAATTTTAAATAAAGATATGTATATTAAAAAAGCCTCACTATAAGAAGATTCAGTTGAAAAAGAATTCACGTATTATTTTTAATACTCTATCCTTTTTATATTATATTATAAAAGTTTCTTTTCTAATATTGGCAGTAATATATTATTACCTTCAGCTCTAAGTTACGTTGAGAAATTCTAAAAATGCAGGTATATCTAGTAATAAAAATAAATTTACACCAATTTATGTAATAAAAATTATAAAAAGGTATTTATTAGATAATTCTAGGTTCTTCCATTGTATTTATAAATTTCGCTATGTTTATTGACGCATTTGATATTTATTATTTGTAAATATTATTACATTATTATGTTAAATGTTCATTTTATTAATTATGCATTTATGTACTGAATATATTGTTCGTTAAAATAATACGTTCATTTATAAGTAAAAAAAACTAAACATTTTTCTATCAAGCTTTTTCGTTGACGTACATATTGACGTACATATTAAATTGTCCATCACAATTCTAAATTAAAAGCAAATAATTTATACAATGGATTTGATGCTATCACTTTTACAAGTCATAGCATTTATGCAGATGATTTAAAGGGTTGATAACGCAAATAAATTAGTTCATCGAATTATACGATTGTTTACCGATACTCCCGCAAGCAATATGTAAATGGATGATGTTGTGGGTATATTAACAATGCAAATGCTTTTATGCGAAAACGACGTTTATTTGCAGCTACGTCGCTGTTCTCTCGCAGCAAAAAGTACCGGATGCCAGTACCGGATGCCAGATAACAAAAACTTTTCGATTTAAAGCAAATTTTAGATGCGAAAACAGGAGTGGCGAGATAATAACGCGGCCATTCCTGATGATTATTCCCAACCACGCGGAAATGCACATGCACACATGAAATCGTGTCCGGATAAGGTGTCGCACAGTTACAAGAGAAATAGCGCTCCGGGGTGTCGCATATATTACCCATCGCGTTGCACTTCGCAGAAATGGATTATCAATGAACGATATAAGATCCAATTTTTGATATTACGACGTGATAGATTCGTTTGGTTGCGATATCGCGTGCCGGTTTTCCGGATAAGAAATTTATTTCCGCTTATCGTAAAAATTTCGTTTAGCACAGTGGTTTTTATGTGCGGCTTTAAAAATGGTTTTGCGAATTTTATAGTATTTTACTTTAATATTAACAAATAATTTGTTGTCTTGATATATATATATATATATATATATATATATAATTTAGATCCAGAAATAATATTTCATACATCTCTCTTATATGTTTTTTTTTTAATAATTTACAATTTATAACGTCAGTCTAGTCTATTTGTGCTAAAAAGAGCGAGAGAAGGATTTAACTGGGAATTTATCGAGTATTTGCTTTTGAATAGAAATAATCGGCTATATGCACGTCGATCATAGTTTTACACTAAAAATATCCGTCGTTAGTGCATGGAATTGGAATGTTCAGGCCAGAATTCAATCTGCTGTTGAGCCTCTTCTGTCCTCTTTATGTTTATTCCAATGGTCTCGTACGACCGGTATTATTTCTATACGAGTGCATTTATGTGCCGTTGCAAGAGAGTACTTACGTATTATGCATAGATATTATATGCTTGTATTTAGTCAGAGAGTCGAGGAAAAAATATATAGAGAGAAAGAGAGAGAACAATGTAGTCGCCATTAACGAAAACATTGGAGCAAACGCTGTTATGTTTCGCATTTTCCTTTTTCTCTATAAATGTAATATTACAACCTCCAAATAAATATCATGCCATTATAAACTTGATTTGCAGTGTTGCTTATTTTATATAGACAATATTCAATATATAAAATACATATTGTTTTATAATTTTATTTTATATAAATATATTTATTTTATTTGAATATATATTGGATACGGTTTATGAAATTAATTTGAAAAATATTGAAGAGTTTCCCGCACATAAAAAAAAAATGTATTATAGCTCTAATAATTTTCTCGCAGCGCTGGTTTGCACGTACTATCCGCTTGGTTAGCGTCACATTTAATCTTGCACGAGCGATTTGGTTCCTATTCAGTGTTTCTATTCACACAGCGAATATCTGTTCCGCGTAAGCGCGTGTCCTAGTTTTACTTTTAAACTCGGTGGGTGCTCACCTAGGCGATGAACCGGGCTGAAACGGACGAGGCTCAATGCTCCATGATCCAAATCACAGTTTCTTCGCCGAGCTCGTTCCCTGGCGAGTTTTGCTCTCCTCCGTAAACAGCAAATTACCATTAACGCCAACAGCGGAAATCCCAGAATGCAGGACACGATAGGTATGATTATGCTCTCCGGCGTAACTGAAAGATGTAAATTGGTCGTGCATTAGGATTTATAAATGAATTAATACAATATTAATCTTGATTTATTGCTATAATATATACGTATATAATTCTCAACGATGTAATTGTCTACAACGTAAATGTAAAGTATTTATCTTCTTTAGCGACGTAGAAGCTTTTAACAACTTAAACAATGTTTTTCGACGAGTCATTTTGACCATTTAACAAGGTTTAAAATACTGGAGCGAAAAATAGTGATGCAATATTTTACATACCCCGTTTTTGAAGAATTGTTTTTGATAACATCACGATCGTTTATACGCTATACGTATCAAATTTATTGGATTTATCTTATCAAATTATTAATATGTCAATTACTGATATATCTATTTCATTAATTGTTGATGATAATTGATTTAATAGATTTGAATATGATTCTATATATACACACGAAAAGTTACATAATTTTATTTTTATTATTTATGAGTATATAAGTATCTTTAATGAAATACATATACCACACTAGTGGTTCGTACATTCCTGTTCACAAAACAGATTTACATCATTAGACAAAAAGGGCATTCTCGAAAGTTTATTAGTTCATGAAAATTTCAAGCGTGTAATAAAAGCGAAGTTGCTTAAATCGAATTAGTGGGTCTTATAAGATAAGATTTAAGACGGTACTGATTAGATTTTCCGTTCGTATTTAAAAGAACTTAAATCCTAACCGTCTCTATTACGACAGAATTGTTCGATTAAAACTTTTTACACAACGCATATATAATATAGTAATGTCGACATTTCTCAATAAAAGTGTCCCAGTTCTCTCTTGGATTAAGCGCTATTTTCTCAGTATGTAATACATAAAGTTTGATTTAGCTTTTACAGTATATGCTATTCTTCTTACACGATGCAAAGAAAAGCTTGGTTCTTTTGAGAACTTTTAATCAAGATAGCGCGCAACTTCTACAGAATGAGATACAACACAACTTTTGGCTATTACAACTCTACTTTCGACTTCATTAAATTATTTTTGCAGTAAATATTTGAAAGATAAATCTTAATTTATTACTACATGTACATTAATTTACATTAATTGTTTCAATTTAATTTATTTATTAAAAATATTGATAAGGGATATTACTATTAGTACATATAATTTCTTCTAAAGATTACATGCGTCATATTCTGAAAAAATTAGATATTCCATATTTCGCGTATTACATGTGCTCGTCACGTTTCTTGTATTGTGTGCTTATCGTGTCTCGCATATTACCGTTCGTCGTAGTTCTCAAAATTAAGGATGTGTTTTTGGATCGATGTATTCGTGTTTTTAGTAGTTGCTCTGTAGCTGCAAATTAGAGCTATTGTGGGGATTTGAATGAAGCACCGATTGCAGATTGCGCGAAGTCCAAAGTTTCTAAAGTTTTATAACGTCAACTATAATTAATCCAACAGAAAACTGTGACACAAATAGCTCCGTCACCTTGCTGAAGCACTTTACTCCTTGAAAAAGTGCTCTCCAGGTTTATTAAATGTCAATAGTCTATTAATTGTGAATCTCTAATTGCATTTGAAAAAGAATTAATTTCGAATTCTGAAAATATACACAGAAAAACACGTACTGTAGATAAATAATAATTACTTAATATATTCAGAATCTTAGTAAATTTAATATTTTAATCAAGATTATAAAATTAAAACAAATTCGATTTACTTAAATAAAGTCGCTTTTTTAATTAATTTTATAAAATAAAATTTTTTTTTAGTTCTTGCTTTGACATAATAATGAATTTTTGTAAAATTTTTAATAAGTATATATTTTAAAATTATATATATAAAATATACCAAAGCGGTTCAATAAATCAAAAATTAAAATATACACCATAGCTACGAGCCAAAAACTATATATATTGATAGTCAAAATTGCTTCAAATTGTACAAGGATCCATAAATCGTATGTTCCAACGTGTGAACAACCTTAAACGCAATATATATTTTAAGATTACATTATCAAGAAAATATTTTTTATCAAAGATATTATAATATTATTTAAAAGAAAGAATATAAATTAAGTAATCACTTTTTTTTAGCAATAGAATATTTTTCTGTGTGTAAAATTTTTTGCTTTATAAGGAACCATCTCGGTTTGTACAACAAGTTAGTGAAAATCATTGATAAGATTTTATGCTGTCAACTTTTACTGATATCAATGATTTTCACTAACTTGTACAAACCGAGATGGTCCCTTGTCAGACACATCATATATGACAATTCACACGTCACTGTACGGTGGAGGTAAACAGGCAGAGCCTTTCATCGGCGAACGATGATCGGATAACAGTATGTGTTATTGTATTAACCACTAACTTGTTAGTGGATTCGTGTTTCTCGTAATTCGCCGTATAACGAATGGCTGGCATTAATTACATTATCAATCCGATGCCTCTCTCTCTCTCTCTCTCTCTCTCTCTCTCTCTCTCTCTCTCTCTCTAAACCCCTTATGCTTCATTATAACGTCAGTCTAGTCTATTTGTGCTAAAAAGAGCGAGAGAAGGATTTAACTGGGAATTTATCGAGTATTTGCTTTTGAATAGAAATAATCGGCTATATGCACGTCGATCATAGTTTTACACTAAAAATATCCGTCGTTAGTGCATGGAATTGGAATGTTCAGGCCAGAATTCAATCTGCTGTTGAGCCTCTTCTGTCCTCTTTATGTTTATTCCAATGGTCTCGTACGACCGGTATTATTTCTATACGAGTGCATTTATGTGCCGTTGCAAGAGAGTACTTACGTATTATGCATAGATATTATATGCTTGTATTTAGTCAGAGAGTCGAGGAAAAAATATATAGAGAGAAAGAGAGAGAACAATGTAGTCGCCATTAACGAAAACATTGGAGCAAACGCTGTTATGTTTCGCATTTTCCTTTTTCTCTATAAATGTAATATTACAACCTCCAAATAAATATCATGCCATTATAAACTTGATTTGCAGTGTTGCTTATTTTATATAGACAATATTCAATATATAAAATACATATTGTTTTATAATTTTATTTTATATAAATATATTTATTTTATTTGAATATAACAACAACTCGTTTGTAATTTAACATTGCCGCGAGCGTGATCTAATATTTTATACACAAGCGTCTAATTAAACGTCATCCCTCGCGTAGTTAATATACCGTGTCTTCAAAATGAATCTAGCGCATCTCTTAAGACATCCAACATGATATAAGTCGCCGTACATTTCTTGTAATAAAGTAGAGCTTAGTTTCAGCGTAATATTGAGAATTAGTATTGGAAACATGGTGTTTATAACTTACCTGTCGGATATACCAAAATCGTTGGTCTTTTGGAGTGCGGAATCGTTGGCATGGTAGGTCGACCAGCTCTCACTTCGGCCGACATTTTCCTTTGTTCTGCAACTGAATGGAAATTCACCTTTGAACTGACTTTACAGATCTCGATATACCTACATTTTGATTCCTATTCGTAACATCTATTCTGTCAAATGCACTATAATTGAGAGAAGACGAAATTAATAGAGAATAAAACCCAATTTTAATTTATATAAATTCTATTTTAGAGTAGATCTTTTTTCTTATATTCTGTAGTTATACTACGAGTAGGTAATAGAATTACAGAACACAATCAGGAAGGTCTTGTTGCGCAACATTTCATCAATATGTATCGCTGTCATTTCTGATGAGTGCTTCGACGACTTGTTATATTGGGAAACCGAATGACGAACGATTTTTATCTTTGAATTGGAATGCATGTTGGTTGGCTCGTCGCTCAGTGAGCTTGGAATCGATAGCTAGCACTCGTAGCTCCAGTTTCAACGTGCGATTTCTACGCGCTGGGAATCAGTTGGCGATGTTCGCGCTTCGTCAGAGACATAAAATTGCTGCAGAACACAGAGAATCTTCACAAGAATCAAATTTCTTTGCGTTCCATAGTTGGATTTACTCGGTTACCCCCGGGATTCAAATTATTTCGCGAAGTAGTGAACAAACGTGACACGGAATATTTTTACGCGTTATACTCGAAGCAGTATATATTTAACGGATATTACTGTTTATGTAGAAAAAGAATAGACTATATTTTTACTATATAAATTATTTTGTATAATAATTGTTTTTAATAAAAGTTGTAATTAAATACAGTGATGTATATTACATTATATAAAATGAAATAAAGATCTTGTACTGCGTATTATATTTGATCGTACCGACATTTTAGCTTCATTATCACTTTTCTCATTAATATTTAACGTGTTTGCCTCAAGGGACAAAGAAAATATGAGAAGGGTTTTCCCATATGCGGTATATAATTCATGGTCACCGGAGCGTTATCTCTGTATCTTTTTCTTAGTAATACTAAAAGCGCCTTAATGGTATCAAAAGAGTTGTTTAAAATACGAGAGACCTTTCAGACTCCGTCCTATTTTTTTATTTTTACCGAATGTTGATTTTGACAAATTACATAAATTGCAAATAAATATTTGTGAGAGCCTTTATCTAATAAAAAAAAAAAAGAAGTCGAATAGTTATTCTCGATTTTCAAGGTATTCTTTCCGTAGTCAAACTTTTAATTTCTTTAAAATCCTTTGCAGATACATTCTTTTTAAATTCGACACTTCTTTCGTGTTTTTTTAAGTCTAGAACAATTGCACGAACGCTTATTGTACTGTCTCATGAGAACATTGACGATGCGGATATTGTCTGTGGTCGAAATGTAGGTGTAATAACAGCGGACGGTAGATTATCGAGAATTTGCGATATCGCCGGACGTCAGGGGCAGATAATGCGGGATAATGCGCGCACGTAAAGGCTTTGCCCAGCTGATGTGGTTAGGGCGCAGCACAAATTGCGAAATGCAGTTAATCTCTTGCGGCGGTACAACGATTCCTCACGAAATCGAATCAATTTTATACGTTATCGTATTATTGTTAAACTTTATCAATTAGTTTTCGTGATACATTTGCATTAAATTAAAATCAAATGTGCATATATTTTATGTGAAATAACTAATTGTTTGATCACAATTTGAAATCAGCCTGTCATCGAGTATCTATTACTTTTCGCCATCTCCAAGTTGCGATAACAGATAAAATTCTCATTATTCTCTCGATATCTTCTGCAGGATTCGACGTACCTTTCCCTGATCGATTTTATCCGGTTTTTATCAATCCATCCTTATATTTTTGCCGTGACGGTTTGTCGAATATTGCTATTATAAATCATTTGGGGGTACTTTGCTTAGGCATGAAAAAAATTTCGACCGAATACAATACTCGCGAAGGAAAAGGGAAACGTTATCTTGAATGAAAAACAGCTTCGTAGGCAGGTATTTTTTGTTATGCTTAGGGGAGCGCCTGATCGTTTACTCAAGCCTACGCGATAAGATGAGATGACCTGAATTAGAGAAAAAAGAAAAAAAATTGCCATCCTCTAACAAAGAAGTAAGATTAGTGGACTTCTCGATTATAAGAGATGATAAGGAATGGCATTATTTATGAAGATAGAATTTATCTGAAGACTTTAGGAAAAAGGTACTTTTGAACGATGACAGTGGAAAGCGTTGTGTAAATAAATATATCTTTTCAATATCTAAAAAATATTTACTGACAAAATATAGAGCTTTGGATGTTTGGCTGCGCAAATTCAGGATATAAAGTTTAAACTATCCTAAAGAAGAATAAAGTCGATTTATCAATCCGCTGCGTGAAAACTTCCTGTTTTAATAAAACAGTGCATTTTGAGATATTGCTGCTATTTCAGACGTCGATAGCACTTCCGCGCGTTGAGCTAAATTGTCCTATCAAGTTTTAGTCTTTTAGTAGAAACACGTCTTCTCCTCTTAGTGCATATTCGGGAGAGCCTACGAGATTTTCTAGTTGCCAGAAAATGATAGTTACGACGTGCCTGTTATCTAAATAGGTCGGCTAGTCCGGTGTGAAAAATCTCGTTTTACAGAACATTTTTATGTGAAAGAAATAATCATCCCTCTTCAAATCTCTTGGCGTTATACGACCGTTCGTATCAAGAAGCAAAATTTTGTGAGAGAATCTTATGATTGTTGAACAGCGTGCTGGTCCTCCTGCAAGGAATTGTATATACTTGAAGAATAGAATGTGGGAGAATAATCTAGTTACGTTGATAAAATTTTCACGATCTCAACTCTGTCTTCGTGAGAACGTTCGGAAGAGATCCTTTCGTCCTATCAACAAGTTTTCATCTTCTGTAATAGAGTCTATATATTATCACGCACGTTTCTCGACTGCCCGTCGCGTAAAGGCAAGTGCAGGTTAACAGCTCTATCTGCATTTCCCACATTTTGGCACGCTATCGGAATACAAGCGGTATGTACGTAACGTATATGGCCGCAGGAAGTTGGTAGTCCATATTGCCTCAACATCATGGAATGCCAAGGTATTTACGTCGCTTACGTATACGAGTTCGTCGTATACCGGTCTCGAGACAGGCGGGATGTTCGGTCCGGGTTTGCATACGACGTTGCACCGGCAGACCCCGTAGGCACACTCGCGTTTATGCACATGCATGTACGAATGTGAACTCAGGCATTTCTGTGCCTCTAGTTTACGTACACGAAAGACACACGCCGGTATATAAGGGTGAGATTAGAATCGACATTATAACTGTCTAGCTATCTGTTCATCTGGCCGCATTTGCGGTTTCATCTTGAGAATTATAGATTTGGATTTCTATTCAAATATCTCAAGAGGCAGGAAATTTCTTTTAGTGTAATTTCTTCTTTTAATGTAATTTCTTCTTGCTTTTACTCATTATCAAATATCACAATCAATATTTATGGAATATAGATATTGATTGTACATGCCAAGATTACATTTGCTTAAAATTTGATTGCGACGTTTAATCTCTGGTGTTATTTACTGAATAGTGCGCGGTTGATTTTATGGCACCAGATAAAAGATTGGAAAGAAGTAAAAAGAAAAATGTAGCCTTATATTTTTGTGGATAACTAATATAATTCTCATTATGCCGGTTAGATTTTATTTAGTCCTAAAGGAGGTCATTTAAATCATTTATCATGCACTCCATTAATTAGGGCAACCTCGATCATATCATAGATAAACTACATGATTTATCCAGCCTACTCTCTCACCTTCCGCCACTTCCGCTCTACGTTCTTGTTATCTTTCTTTAGGTCACGAACACGAAACCCCATTTTGACCTTTAACTACATCATCAATGAAATTAGAACTTAGAAACCGCTAATTTGCCACTTCTAAGTTCGAAGTTGAGAGGTCGCGGTCAAGGTTTAGCTAAACATTTCCTAGGTTGTACATGAAATTTATCTACTAAACGTATTCAGGAATGCAAAATTGTTCAATTGTTTACTGACTTAAGCAACAACTTCTTAATTGGTTTGCTTCTAACGTCATGCGGTGTCATGATGAAACATGGCTTCGTTAGTGAGTTAGATCCTCTACTCTGTCATCGAGGTAGTTATCAATCGTAATTTCTTCTCGTGAGTCTCATTAATTCTTACTAGTATCATCAGTCTATTAATTTCCCATCTACCGCGAAATAATCGTGACAATGTTGCTTGTTCATGCACGCTATGTTCTTTGAAGGTTGGATTTCGGAACATTACGAGTATAATCTTGTTCCGAAATTGCTGAGACGAAACGATATGTAGAAACGTGATCGTAACACGTGAGGTTGGAGACCTAAATACGTCCCCGGCCATATAATTCCCAAGAACTTTTGTTTTCTTTTCTTCTTTCACAATACCAGGACGCAAATAAAATGTTGCTTACAAAGATAATGTCTTAAAAAAAATAATTAACAGAAAAAAAATATTAATAACAGAAGTTAATTATAGTAATAATAAAAGAATATGTATAAAATATTCTTTTAAAGCGTACTGGTAAATAAATGTTCTATATATAAATGTATAAAATTTAAATATTTGAAGCAATAAATGATTCATATCTTGCACCTTTAATTTCAATAGAGATTTCTTAATCTTCTGAGGACCGACATGTTTTTCATCGACTTTTTTATTTTAAGGGCTAAAACTTTTTTGTCATTGTCATGGCGTTGAGTGGCGAAAAAGGTGGTTCCGCTGTCGAGTTTCTAAAGGGGCCTCAAAAGGTTAATGCAGCTTAGTGACAGGTTAACAGGATTTTGTTATGCCTGTTAAAAGTAACATGCTTTATACAAGACTAAAGTATTAGTTTTTAATTTCCAGACTGAAAGATATGTCGATAAGCAATTTATTTTCAGTTTCTCGGAGGTTTAGTACGGAAAAGTATTTTTCTAAAAAAATTGAACGAAAGTTTTGTTGATGCAAAAGATACAGCTTATTTCTCTGAAATAGCTCAAAAGAATAGTCTGCTTCAATATACCTAAATATCAATATCCACGACACGTAG